GCATGGAGCCAAGGGCAAGGAAGAAATTGGTTCACCAGAATGTTTGTAATAGAGCTCAGGCAGCAATGTGGAGATGCTGCTTTTCCTGGATGCTGCTGCATGGAGCCAAGGGCAAGGAAGAAATGATGAAGAATGAAGGAAGATGATGAAGGAAGAATGTTTGTAATAGAGCTCAGGGAGCAACGCGGAGATGCTGCTTTTCCTGGATGCTGGTCTGGGAAAATGATTCTAAAGCTTGGCTGTGGAATTGCGACCTTCCTCTTCTGCATGCACTGCTACAAAACTGTTAATTTGTAATAATTGGCTGTATTTGAGGTTCCTTGCCTAAAGTTTTACTCGTTTTTGTTAGTGTCTTTCTGTTGAGCTGGATTTCTGTTGCAGAAGTGGCTGCCAGGCCTTGGTGATGGCTGTAGGATTCTGATGTTGGAAAAAAATGACTTTGGAAAATGAAGCTGTTAAGTAACGAAATGTCATAAGCGTTGCTGTATTGCCAGGGACTTGCTTTTCATTTAGATAACTGCAACAGGACGCTTAAATTTTATGAGTAGCATGTATTAATAAAATAGACTTTGAATGGTCTTTGTTAAAATCAGAGACTAATTTTCTCCTTCTGATCAACAGCAGTAAGTGATGTTTTATTTAGCTTTCCCAAGAAAGATGGATTTGAAGGCAAACATAAATATTTGAATCGTAGTGATATCTCTTCTATCTAGTTACCACTAATTTGTTCTTTTTCCTTAGGGACCAACGCAACGGCATGTCCAGATAATCATGGAGAAGCTATTGAGGACAGTAAATAGAACAGTCATTTCCATGGGACGTGATTCGGAGCTCATTGTAAGTGTCTCTTGATGTAAACTTAAATACCTTTGTCACATCTTTCTGAACCGGCCTGTAATAGGATTTAAATCCCGAGCGATGCAAAGCAATCAAAGCCTCTCCAGCCGTCTTGGAGTGTTCAGTAAGCTGTGAAAAGTTGTCTTGTGTCTGCCAAGGGAGCCCCCAAACCTTCCTGCCCGGACAATCCGGAGCAGGGGCTGATACCGTAACGGCAGATCCGCACGGGAAGACACTGCGGGGGCTGATTTAGGATTTAGGAGCCGCCTAATCTTCCAACTGCGTCGTTATATTGGGACAAATGTTAGGAAATGCTGGAAAAAGTGCTGTGTCTGTCCCAGCGCTGTCACAGACCCTCAGCCTAGGCCTGTGGGTGCTGGAAGGGTCCTGGTGGCCTTGCTTGGCCTGATGGCCTCTTGCTCCACGTGTATCTGCACCCGGCTGTCCATGCGCAGCCAGCTGGTCACGGGGGAGTGGATTTTGCATGTCTGAGCATCAGTCTTTAATTTGACTTTTTGGGGTATATTTGTGTGTGCTTCTTTCTCCCAGGGGAGCTCCAGTGTTTTTCTCACCAAGTTTTAAGCCCAGCAGAAGCCAGGATCCTTTCTTCGCAAAGTCCTTGGCATATCTGGCAAAGTCCTTGCATTAACTCTGTCTCTCTTTGTCTGCAATTTTTTCCCCTATTTCATTTCTCCCAGTAATTAGACAGTGATGTTTCCCGTTTGATTATAAGGCTGCTTGTCCTCAGGTGTTTCATCTAGTGCTGTCCCTCCTTGTGCCTGCAAGCATAGCACAATTCCAGTGTTTTTAGTGCCCGATGCACTAACATTTCTGCCCCGTCTTCTGCTTTCATTGCTTTGAGTTTCAGGAATAGCTTTTGTGAGGAGGGATCCCTTGTTGGAGCAACAAATAGGTATAAGTAGCTGTAATTCTACTAATGCTGGTATGCAAGAGGAGGAGGAGAAAAAAAGGCTGAAGATTTCAGTACTGCCACTAGTTTTGTGTTGATTTCCATAGAAATCGCTAACAATATACAGAATAGACATCTTAAACTGTTCTGTGTGAGGGTGCAAAACCTCTTTCTACTTCCCCCATGCGTCAAGTAGAAGACAGGAATACAGGAGGTAGCCACAGTTATGCAGTAGGTGAGTTAATTCCTGTTTTGATGAACATGATTTAGATAGCAAATTAAGAAGGGATAATTAATAAATTAAGTTTGAAAATCTCATGTGTGTATATATATACATTTAAGCTAGATACATTTGTATTAAAAATGCATGGAGTGATCATGACTATAGCTTGAAATCGTGCTATCTGCAGACACTGTAATTAGGCAGCAGGGTTAATGGCACTGGGTATATCCAGGAGCCCTTGAGAGGGTTTAAAATTCTGGCCCTGGCTGGGAGGAGGCTGCTGCAGTCAGAGGAAGAGGCGGCTGCTGGTTGGGGGTCAATCCTGAGCCCTCTGGGACAGCAGCCCCGGGAGATGAGGCAGGAACTTGGTGCCAGCAGGAAGGGAAGGAGCCGCCCAGGATTAACCGCGCGGGACAAGCGGAGGGGCGGCTTCTTTGGGAGCATCCCTGTAGATCCTTCATCCTTCGGAGGGATCCTTCATCCTTTAGATAAAGGAGGAGGGTTGGAAAAGCGTGTGTTTATTTTTGAAAGAAGTAAAGCACAGGACATGGGTAACCCATTCCTTGCATAAATGAACTGTATTGGTGTAGTAAAGCTGCTGTGTCTGCATGTGAGTACTTAGCTCTGTTGTCTTAACGCAGGTATCTTAGTGTAGCTAGGCTCTCCAAAACCCAACATTGTCGTATAATGCATTTTAAATACAAAAGAATTCTGAAAGATTGGGTTTTACTGCTTTAAAAAGGAGGTATATATCCATGAGGATACAAGCCGAGAGCTTCCTTCTGGAAAAATTCCTGGGAGGATCCTGCTTGGAGTGGCTCAGCTGAACGCAAGGCAGCAATCCTTGTCACCAGACACTTGTTTTCTTTTAGGCAGCAGTGCAAAATCATGGATTCATGATCTTACTGTGTTCCTAAGGTTTGGTCAATTCTACATTCTTTATATAACGTGACTCCAGTCGCTGTGGGATGAGCGGTGTGTGAAATGCATGAGCTGTATAATCACCAAGGGCAAATTCCGAGTTGTTGTGTGAATGCTCTCGCAGGTTGTGTCCCGGTTTTCCTGGCATTCCCTTCCCCATCGTCGGGGGCTGTGAAGAATTGAACTAATCAAGTTAAAACTCGGCTATTTTGTAACAGGAGCGGCAGAAGCATCTTGAATCCATCCAGTATAATGTGCTTTTATATGGGACAAAAATCTGCAGTAGAATGTGAGGCCTCCAGGTATTTTAATGTGGAGTTTTGTGTCTGATACGACGGTGATCAGGCCAGTTCCTGCTGGAAAAATAGTGCTGGAAGGTGGATGGGTTGTACAGGGCTGACCAAAGCCCCTGTGCTGGGGTCAGGGACATGGCTCTGCCGTCTGTGGTGGTGACTCTGCAAACACAGTTGTTGTTTTTCCACTTCTGTTGCTGCGTGGGTTTTTCAAATACTCCATAATATCTTCATCCAGTAACTTAAGGGTTTTAAGGTACAGGGAGCTCCAAGCTGTTGGGCAGGTGATGCATTTTCTTCACTTCTATGATATAAAAAAATCATACTTTTATTAAATTGCCTGCTTTCCTCCTTAACAAAAATACCTGAGGTTGCAACATTGCGATTTGCAGGACGGCAGCGGTTTGGTTCCATCACTAATGCCAAGCTTTTCCGTATGCTGGGAAATGAATAATGTTTCAGCAGGGCAAATGGGCATGGACGAGGCTGTGCCGTGGCCACCTAACCAGAACGGCAGCCCGGTCTAGCTCTGCAGGGCCTGGCATAAGCAGCAGTTGTTTCATGGGTGCTGCAGTAACGCTGAGAACTGTCCCGAGCAGCCCGCTCCGCTCTGCCAGCGCAGCAGCCCCAGCACAACGTGGTCTGGGGCAGTCCTGCCAACGGGAGAGCTGCAGGGGGCTCTCACAGGGGCCAAACACGGGCTGCAATCTAAACCTGTGCTTGATTTAAAGCGGTTGTGAAAAATGAACCTACTTGACTCATTTTTAAGCGATTAAACATCAGGACAGAGAGCAAAGTGAAGCGCACCATGGTGGTTTTGCATCTGAAGCAAGAAGAAGCAAACACTTTGTACTTAGGATAGGATTTTTCAGTTTTAATCATGACTCTTTTTTCAGTTTATCCTGATTTTTTTTCAGCTATTTCTTACAGTGATTCTTTTTCTTTAAGAAAACAAGTGCTACTTACATGAACTGTGTTTCCTAGTAGATCTAAAACAAAGAATGTAACTGCTTAATGGAAACTAGGCAGACTCGGAAAATAGCAAGTAATCAAAAACCGCTGCAGGGCTTATCGACTTCATAGTATTTTAGGCATGGTGAGGGAGCGGTGCCTATAGGGGACGTGTGTGTGGCAGTGCCCGAGGCTGTGGAGGGCTCGGGGAAGCTGCGTGACGAGGCGTTTTCGTGGTTATACCCTCAGACCTGCAGTTCCTAAGATCTTCTAGGCTAGGCTGCAAACAGCCCCTACACACGAGGGTGCAAACGGCTCCGTGTCAGTCGCACTGAAGTAGAAGCTCTAAAGAATTAAGTGTCTCTCCGTAGCTAACCTGAGCGATCCTAAACGTAATACAATATGATACATCTTCCACACTTGCAAAAACGTTTTATTACAAATTACATTGTATGGTACGATATAACATGGCATGTAATCTTAAGCAAGACTATATGTATGTTAGCTTTTTCATCTTTAAAAAAATGTAAAAAATTAAAAATTTGCCGTTTGTTTAAGAAAATAGCCTGGCTGTGTAGGAGCCTGGCCGAGGCCCCCCGGGCGGCTCCGAGACCCTTCACCAGGGGCTGCTCCTCTGCGTGGGGGAGATCCCAGCCCTGCCGTGTCCCAGGACAACAGCTGGGGTTTGTGTCCCTGCACACAAACCCTGGGCACAGGAGCACGGGAAAAGCTGCTGCTCAGCTGGCACTACCAATCTGTAAGCGCTCCCCCGCCACAGAGCTGGATCTTCCTTTCCCAAAGCGCCAGGTGTGTTTGCATGCGCCAGCTCCCTCCTCATTGCAGCTACCTGCAATGCTGGACAGCACGGGGTTTTCTTCTTGGAGCTGTATTTGAGATTCTTTGTTTAGGAAAAATGCTTTTCTGATTGGTAGTTTTTTGAACTGCTTGGGTTCTAACACATGTAAGGTGGGCTGCCTTGTAAACAGTATAATAGCTTTAATTAAAAATGATATAAAATACATGACACACGTTTTTCCATATGAAACAATTGCACTTCCTTCCCGGTACACAAGATCACCCTTTGGAATCCTTCAGCTTTCACAGGAGATTTCAGGATATTGTTACTTACATGTGGGAACCTGTAGCCCTCCTGGGATTTACTACGGAGGGGATTGCTCCACTAAAGCAGTGAAGGTGGCTCTGACATGTTCCACACTTGTGTTCTCATATTAACTTATTTCTCTTATTATTTTTTTCCCTGAAGTAAATAACAAATCTTCGTCATTTTTTTTTAAATTAGTCACTGATTTCAGCTTCAGCTAAGAAAAAAAATAGCATAAATTAAAGTATTTCAAGTTTAGTATGTGCAAAATCTTCTGCAAATGACTATGTTCCTTCCACAGTCTGCCTAAAGACTGAGGGTAAATATCTTAATGACCCTGTGGGCTATGGAGTTTCAGAGCCTGTCACTTGCAAACCAGCCTGTCACACAAATTGTCCTCACCCCTAAAAGAAGGGCAAGGTCCCCTTCACTAGCCCCTTCTGGCAGTCAATATTTCTCTTCAAGCAAGATAAGAGTTTTATAACATTAGCAAATAGGTAAAGGAGCATGTAATTCGGAGCAAGATTTTAAGTGTCATTTTTTTAAACAGGGGGAAATTTGATTCACATTTCCTCAAGGCTGTAAGCAAGTACAACTACCAGATTACCTAGATACAAACTATGTTTATTGGGAAAGCTCAGCCAAATAAACACCCCTGAAACTTGCCTCGTCCTTCTGAACAGGCTTCAGAGCATCCTGCATGCCTCAGCATTCCTGATGCCTTCTGCAATTGTGTACAGGTTTTCCAAAGCCTGTCTTACAAAAAGATACTAAATTAGGGCAAATGCCAACAATCCGTAGAGCTTTTTATCATAGCTCTTTTTTTTTTTTCTTTTTTTTCCCCTCTGTTCTAGAATGTTTGATATAGACCTTTTGGGCACCAAAAGATATAAAAGTGACGTCTGGGGCAGTTTATTGCCCCCTGGCCTTGACCCTGTCGCACGGGGTGGCTCGAGGCATGTCCTGACTGGGGGAGCCTCCCGGCGCGGATGGACAGCAGCTAAATTAAAAACCATGGGACAAGGTTGACGTGTCAGAACTCGGTTGAAGTTTACAACACATGAAGGCAAATATACATATAGTCACACCTTAAAGATTGATTATTCACGGTCTCGGACCACATGAAAAATTGTGCTTTGTCCAGGATATGTGTGCTGAAAATTGCACTCCCCGATCCTCAAGGGTTGGTAAAACTGAAGAGCAAACGTAAGGCTTGCCTATTTATTTTTTTTCTCCTCACTGGTGTTTAAAGACAACAAAACAAACCCCCAAAAGGCTTCAAAACAATAGTGATATTTAGCTGTGTACAGGATGACAGCCTACAATTTAACCGGTTAAAAGGTGATGCTTCCAGATCTAAAGGGAGAAAAACAGTTTTGCTTTCCATCTTTGTCCAAACTTCACTCCAGGGCTTACATCCCACGTTGGTGAACTGCGGAGAGAAGTCGGCGAGGTGGCCCTGGCTGCCCCGCTCCTGACCAGTAGTTCCTGGGTACAAAGGCCTTTTTGGTACATGTGATGAGAACTGAACGTTGCCAGGGGGGTCCCAGCAACGCTGGCTGCTAACATGGACCGAGTTACCAGGATCCCTTTCCAGGGAGGGAGAGGATTATTCCAGATACTTCTCAAAGAAGGCCTTGAGCTCCATGTGCCATGGACTTGGTTAAAGGAACCAGAGTTTCCATCTTCCGTGCTTTTTTGACTCAGTTTTGGATTTTTGCTTGGGAGTAGAGGAGTAACTCTCCTGAGAATAAGGCAAAGGTGCAACCTGAGTTTCCTCAATGGGATGAAGTTTTCTCAAAACTGGCTGTAGTTTATCTTCTTGCTGCTTAAAATCCAACTCCACACTAAAAATGGGGGAAGAAAAAAAGCAATTAGCTACTCCATTACAGCGACAGAAAGATTTCTATTAAGACAGCATCTGACATTGCTCTCCCAGGGCTTAGTTTATTAAAATTAAATACGAAATAAATGTTCACATCAGATCTCTGCAATTCTCGCAGCAGAAGTGAGAGCTGTGCAAGGGGCTGCGGGTGCCGGGAGCGTCGGGCTGCTCCTGCAGCCTGATCCAGAGGGAGAAATGCCCTGTCCAGGGATCTCCTCTTGCCCACGCCGAGAGCAAAGCAGGGGCTGATGCGGAGCCCTGGGCTTAGCTGCGGGTCTGCTCTAGCTAAATCAAAACTCAACAACAACAGAACTATTAAACCATTAAAACTACGTAGAAGTAAGGGCAACTGTTCATGGAAGTGTGAACTCGCATTGGAAAGCTCCACCCCAGCTCTGCAGTACAGCTGCCCTGTACAGCCTAGAGCGTCCTGCCTGCAGTTCAGAAGTGTGATGAAGATGAACCATGGGAGTTTTCCTCCTCCTTTCATACTTTGCAGTAAACAGGACAGGATCAAACTAAAGACAGACCCGTTGGGGCAGCTGCACAGGTTGCCCTTCCAGCCCCACCTCTGACCTTCCTTGGGTTTGCAGTGACTGAATTTGCTATTTCCGTGGTGCGTGAGTGAGAGTTTGTTGCTCCTGGATGTCAGTTAATTTTTGATAAGCATTGAACATGTTCTCAGAGCCCTTTCTGCTACTGTCTGGTTAAGCTGTACCATTAGGGAAGCTATGGCTGTTTTTTTTTTTGTTTTTGTTTTTTCCCTGCCTTGGATGAGTGCCAGCGTATCCAGCAGGAGCCACGTCCCGCTCAGAGGGAACGCTCCAAACAGGCTGCAACAATGGAAGATAGAGGAGGATTTTTGGTAGGCTCCAGCCCTGCAGCCTTGGCAAACTGAGCACGTCTTGTCTAACACCTTCTGCTCTTAGAGGATTTTATCCTCCTCCTGGAGAGGAATCAGAGACACCGACTGAAGTTGGGGGCTGCTTGGGGGGTGGTTGTTTGTGGGGTCTCCCCTCGGCACTCCTGGGAAGGCCCTGGAAGGCCTCAGTGCTTGGATAACCTTCCTAGTAGTCAGTGAAAGAGCGAGATTTGTTTGGGGTTGAAGGGAAACCTTTTCCTCACGGCTGCACATTGAAGCTCTTAGAGGACGTTTCCCGTTGGACAATCTCTTCTTTTGAATCTCTGTGGTGGTCGGAGGGCACCTGCGTCGCTGCCCATGGCAGTTGGATGTGGGGGAATAACGGAGTGACGGGAATTAGCGTGTGCCTGGCTTGAAAGCAGGGCCCAGATAAGCACTAATCACCTGCAAATTTGGGTTCACGCCCCTTTACAAGGATCCTTTTTTCAGTTCTCCGGTTTAACCTGAATCCCGCTAATGCCCAGGATCCGGAGCGCTGTCCGGGCTCTCCAGCTGCTCCGGGACACGTTTTCCTACCAGGCGTCCTGCAGTCCAGAGCAGATGAGGAGGAAGGCAACTTGGGTAGGCAATAAGAGGGTGCAAATTGCTCTAGTAATCACTTAGTTACCTGTCTTTGCTATACTGATATCTTACACCTTTGCTTAATATATATTTATATCATAATTTTCCTAGACTATCACAAATGAATTAATTCCATGTGGACTCTATTTTCCCTGATTAAATTGTATCAGCATGACTTTAACCTGTCAGCTTGTTTCACTTGGCGGCGCTGGATTGAGACAGGTTCTAATAATCTCTTCAATTGAATAGTTGGAGCACTCTTCAGGAGAACTTTAATATCAAAAGCAAAATTAAATATTGAAAAATAGCAGATGAAATTTCAAAGGAGTAAAAAGTACCCAAGCTAACGGCTGGTGCAGCTTTGAGTATTTCTTCTTCCAAGAACTATGATAGCGCAGTCGTGACTTAGTTTGTTCTTTCCTCTCTGCAGAAGTCATGATTTTGCCTAAAAAAATACAGTTTCAGAAGCTAAGGAAGCTCTGTCAAATACTGCTGAGCATTTGTGATGTGTTTTGACCAAAGGGAAGTCTAGTTTGAATTCTTCAAAATGCTCCTCCGTGGAGGTAATTCTGAAGAATATCTCCATGATGATGGACGTGGAAGAATAATGCCCAAAATAATAAACAGAAGCCTCAGTTTCTCCTATAGCTGCCTGTTAAAGGATTAAAATTCACAAGGGATGGCAATTTAAGCCAGAATGGAAAGGGCAGTTCCACAAAAAGATAATCACAGCGTAAAACAGGCTCTGCGGGTTTTAGTGCAGGCAGGTTTGGGGTGGGATAGAATTTGTTAGAGGATTGCGTACCAATGACAGCAACGACAGCAATGACAGCAACGACGCTGCTGCTTAGGAGGGAGATTTTGCCAGACTTGAGTATTGGAGCTGTCGTGGTCCTCACAAGGTATCCCAATGTATAAAAATTACCCTCTGTCCTTAAGCACTTCTGTGGGGGATACAGATTGGTTTGTAAAAGATTATGAAACTGTTTTGTGAGCGCAGGTCGAGACGCTGGTACTAACAGAATAGGTGGACATTTAACACTGATGTCAGTGGTACCATCTTGTGATTTCTTTTTACTACTTAAAATAACATTTTTTGACTACTTATTTATATTCTGGCCAGAACAACATGATGCAGGAAACCTTTTAGTGCCCATTGCTATGTAGCTGGGGCTTCATACACTCTTTTTAAAGACAGCAACAG